GACATTGATCTATAGGGAAAAAGCCCTCATTGTCTCTAGAGTCAGAAGTTCCGACAGGAAATCAGCAGGTGGGAAAAGAGTCCAATTAGAGCAACAGCACTGAGTGAGGTCTCTGGGTCACAGCAATGGGGAGATGACCGTCAGTGGATATGGGGTCCCTCCTCCCACCTGTTCCAGGTGCTCAGGCCAGGGACCCCTTTCTCCTAGTCAGAGAGATCTGGAATTCCAGATAAGTGAAGCATCTGTGAATGTGAGGCTGGGGCAGTTGTTGGAGCTTAAGGTCTCAGCAGGAGGCGCGTTCCTGGCCACTTGAGCCACAGGAAGGGGACCAGGCGACGGGTGAAGGTGGCAGTGAAAGTATAGATGAGTTCCTGTGACTCTGCATTGGTGAAAGTTACAGTCCCCCCTTCATAATCCAGGGCAATGCCCACTCTCCGGGGCCGCAGTGCAGGGAAGAGCTCAGCCTCAGGGTTGGTGTTGGCCCAGATACCAGAGGAGGAGAGGCGCAGAGCCCACACCCCATCCTCCGGCCGCAGGGAGAGGTCTCCCTTTCTCTTCACAGAGTCTCTGGCCACCCCCACCATGCAGCTTTCCAGAATGTCATCCTCTTCCTCTTCTTCTTCCTCCTCTTCATCACCCAATGACTCCTCATCCTCGTCTGTTTCCCAGTCATCGTATCCATCCCCATAGCCAGCCTCCTCTTCCTCCTCCTCCTCTTCCCCTTCTTCCTCCTCATCCCCCTCCTCTTCATCTTCAGACCAGCCCTCCCTCTCCACCTCCACTTCCCAGTAGACTTTGCCCCAGGTGAAGCCCTTGCTGCCCAGCACACCTGGCTCACAGTCAAATTGCTGGGGGTGCAGGTAGGCACTCTTGTACAGGCTGGTGTAGGTCACACACTTCCAGTCCTCTGACAGCTGCAGGTACCCACTGGCCGACTGTGGGTCCAGGGTGACACTCACTGTGGGGACAAGGAAAGAAGTAACAGCATCGATGTTTTTCTTTTTAAGTTATAGAGAATAAAGTTTATTCTGACAAACAAAATTAAAGTAGCATCCCTTAATCAGTAACATAACATCCTTAATTTGGAGTTAAGCAAGACATATTTTCTTGCTCTCCCACATGTTTCATTAAATCACCATATTTAAACTGCCTTATAAAACTGATGCTAAAATAACTCTACTGTTTTTGCATACAATGACTCCAAATGAAACTTTTTAATAAGCTTCTTCTATCTCTGAGTCCACACCATCATCAATACCATTCAAGTATAGATGACTAGCCCGACATATCTGTTCCATTTTCTTCATAATCTGGAAAGAAATCCTCTTTTTATTTCTTTCTTTTTTTTTTGAGACCTAGTCTCAAGCTGTCACCCTGGGTAGAGTGCTGTCGCATCACAGCTCACAGCAACCTCCAACTCTTGGGCTTAAGCGATTCCCTTGCCTCACCCTCCCAAGTAGCTGGAACTACAGGCACCCACCACAATGCCCAGCTATTTTTTGTTCCAGTTGTCATTGTTGTTTAGCTGGCCTGGGCTATGTTCGAACTTGCCAGCCTCGGGGTGTATGTGGCTGATGCCCTAGCCGCTGAGCTACAAGCACTGAGCCAAAATCCTCTTTTTCAAGTAATTCTTGTTATTCCTCTTGGTAAAAGTAACACCATCAGTACAAACTGTTGGTTCAGTTATATACTAGTGAGGATCATTTTTGGGAATTGCTTCTTTGCTGAAATCCTACAATCTTCCAAAGCATCTGTTTTACATCTCTGCTGTAGTTTGCATCTAGGACATTTTCAATTATCTGAATATTCTTCCATAGGAGTTTTTTCTTTTTTCTTCCAAGTACTTTTCAAAACTGATCCTGTTGACTTCAGTAAGTTTACTGCACAAATTAAGGTGTCATTCATAGGATTAGAAAAGAAGGTATTCTGCAACTTCAGACCAGCCTGAAGAATATCTGTTCCTAGGCCAGGCATGGTGGCTCATGCCTATAATCCTAGCACTCTGGGAGGCCAAGGAGGGTGGATTGCTTGAGCTCCTGAGTTCAAGACCAGCCTGAGTGAAAAGCAAAACCTCATCTCTACTAAAAATAGAAAAACTGAGGAAAGAGAATCACTTGAGCCCCAGAGTTGGAGGTTGCTGTGAGCTATGGCACCACAGCACTCTACCCAGGGTGAGAGCTTCAGACTCTGTCTCAAAAAAAAAAAAAAAAAAGAAAAGAAAAGAATATCTGTTCTTGTAACCTATCCACTTATTATTTTGGTTAAGATAAAGTTCTCCCACGGAGTACATATGAAGAAATTGTTTATGAATAACTTCATCCCCTTGATCTTTAACTTCATATTCAGTCCAACATCTCTGGAGTAGAAACTGGTAGAAGGTATCACCTGTGAGCTACTTGCCTGGTAGCTTTTGTAACCTAACCATCATGGTGTCCACAAACTGTTCAGTTTCAAAACTGCTAGACTGCTCTGCTGTGTAAGACAATTCAAAAAACTCTTGAACACATTCCAATAGAACAGTATAATCCTCACAACCACCCTAATAGAATTCTGTATAATTAGAGGAATACCTTGATACATAATATTCTGGGGGATTCACAGATAGCTCAGACATTATTAATACAGGGGCTATAACCACAACCACCTACGGTTTAGCCATTGCTGACTCCAAGTTCTGCTGTAAGATTTTATCATGTGAACCTAGGTGGAGTTCTCAGGGGCTGGACCCACTCCATAATTCTCAGATCAAGTGTGAGAGTGGACTGGTAGGACACCACCAGTCTCCACAATCCAAGGGGTGCCATTCACATCTTGGTCTATATGAATGGTGCCCCTGAGTGATATACAATAAACAACCTTAGGCTACCACTTCTGTTTGCTCAGAATGTAGGAGCCATGAGGCCAGGCAAATGAGAGGAAGCTCAAGTACAGACAGGGAAAGGGCTGGTGGTAGGACCCACGAGGATAGAATAACCAGACACAGGGCAGAGAAGGGTCAGACTAGCAAGAGGAGATCTCTATTCCAAACTAAAGAGTAGACTGAACAGAAAATGCAAGGAGGGAGGGAGCTTCTGGTTTGCAGATGGAAAATTCTTCCTGGTACAAAAGGGGCTCTCTGGGAGCCAGGGAGGAATGAGGGGAGGGAATTTTCTGTATTTGATATACTTATGGGAACGACCCTTTGGACACTCACCTGTCTTATATTCCAAGTCTCTCAGCAGCTTCCCTGAGGAGAACAAAGGACAGCAATGACCCTCAAGCCCAGAAAATTAATGGGCCCATTTCTTTCTCAGGTGGTATTAATTTCCTGATAGGGCTCTGTCCCCCAGACAACAAAAAAACCCTCTGAAGAGGTTAGAGAATATGATATAAAGGATCTTCTCTCTAGGCGGTAGCCCCACTGTGATTCCCAGCTTAATGATCTCCCCAACCCTTACCTTGGAATTCTCTCAGGCCTCGCTGCAGGGAGAGGACTTTATCTGAGAATTCTCCTGTCCTTTTTTTAACTACTCGAGTGATGGGTTTCCCAATCCAGAACTTCTTCCGTGGATACCTGAGAAGATGGCAGATTTAACAACCTGTTGTTTAGCTCTTCTTACTTTTCTTCATACTTATCTCTCAATCCTCACAACAATTTGCAGTAGGTGGGAAAAATATGATTTCCAAACAAGTAGTAGAAAAGCAGGCACCCAAAACACCAGCTAAGATCGGACTTAAGACCATCAGCAGACTCAACTGCCACAGCTCTTTGTCTACTGAGCCACAATTCTACTCTCTCTACTCTGTCCCACCTCAAACAAGGATGGTCAGTCAAGGAGCCAGGGTTACAGAGAACTTTCTCAGGTATAGAGCAAGTTTCCAGTTCTTGAGAATTCTGTTCCTACTTCCCAGAAGGGCATCAGGATAAATCATGCCATGGGAACCTCTGGAACCATACCATGCCCTATTAATTCAAATGACCCTGGTCAGGAAGAGGTGAGGAAACACAAACACAGAGGAATGAGGCACACTATGGGGACAAAATGCTTTTTTACCTGATTAGGAAGTCTCTAGTGTCCTCCTGGAAGGGAAGAAAGCACAAGCATCAATGTGAATCAAATAAGACTTAAATTCTTATGCACCAAACTGCATTAGAGGCGGATGATCAGTGAACAAAACAAATGTGACCCCTTCCTTATGGGGCTGACATTCTAGAGAGAGCACTGGATAAAAAAAGAAAACAAAGCCACTAGGGGTGGGGAACAAAGAGCCTATTGGGGAGACACTTGTGCTAAGAACACAAGAAAGTACCGGCCAGGTAAAGAGTGGTAAGAAGGTGAAACAGGAAGGGGTTAGTGAAAGAAGCAGGGGCCAGATCATGCAGGGCTGGATTTGCATGGTGAGGAGTTTGAAATTTGTTCCACAGACAGTGGATAGCCACTAAAGGATTTCAAGCAAGGGAATGATATCCACGATCTGCTTTCCATGTTGTGGAGATTGCTAAGTATCCTCCAGAATCCATTCTCCCCTTCTTTTTAAGAATGGAACCCCTGGAATGATAAATGATCAGATGGTCACACCAAGGAAGACTTTATTTTCCAGATTCCCTGCAACCAGTTCTGATCATGTGACTAAGTTCCAGCCAAGGGAAAGCAACTACAATTTCTGGGGCTTATCCTATAAAAAAAATGGCTTTCTACTTTCTCTTTTCCCTCTGGCTGAATTTTGGACATGGCGATGGTAAACCTGGCCTTGATCACATCCCTAGAAGTTAGTGGAAGTAACTCAGTTCCCTGGGTGAGCATCCAGATAGAAACCATGACAGCTCTAGACCCCACCGCCTGCCACCTCTGAACTGTTACAGAGCTAGAAATAAGCAGCATCTCAAAGAATCCCTTCACAAGTCACCCTGTCCTAGCTGGGACCAGGAAGGATGTACCAGGAAGAATGTTCCAGCTGTTTTGTTTAAGACACTCTACAGAAGCTAGCCAAAATCCTAAGTGACCAATCACTTGGCTGACTAGTAGAGAATGGATTAAGTGAGGTAACACAAGGGCAGGCCAGTCTGGAGGCTGTTGCTGCAGACCAGAGGAAAGATAAAGATGTCCTAAACTAGGTGGCAATGGAGACAAAAGACAGAAGCAGCGCATCCCAGCTATGTTTTTGAGACAGATTCAACTGGACATATTGGTCAAGGATAATCAAGGGCAGGTCATGGCTTGAGTAGACGGGAAGATGGTGGTGCTATCTGTGTAACAGGGAAGACAGGGTAGAGCAGGGTGAGTGTGCAGGGATTGAGATGCTGCTTAGATTTCCTTTTGTGAGTCAAAAGCCTCAAAAATACTCTGTACTAATTGATTTTTGCCTTCCTTTCACTGGTTCCACAGATACTTATTTCTTTTCTTTTTTTTTTGAGACAGAATCTCATTATTTCGCCCTCGGTAGAATACGTGGCATCACAGCTCACAGCAACCTCATACTCTTGGGCTTAAGGGAGTCTCTTTTCTCAGCCTCCCAAGTAGCTAGGACATCAAGCACCCGCCACAATGCCCGGCTATTTTTTTGTTGCAGTTGTCATTGTTGTTTACCTGGCCTGGGTGGGATTCGAACCCACCAGCCTCAGGGCATGTGGCTGGTGCCATAACCACTGTACTATGGGCGCCAAGCCTGGCTCCACAGATATTTATTAAGTGCTTCCTATGTACCAGGCACTAATCTAGACAGCAGTGAAAAAAAAAATAAAGAGATACACAAATCCTTACCTTCATAGAGCTGACATTCTACCAAGGGGAAACAGACAAAAAACAATCAATGTAACAAATGCATCATATTATGTGAATGATAAGCACTATGAAAAAAAAGAGAGTTAAGTAGAATGAAGGGGGAGGGAGCAGGTTGGCATCCTTAACAGGGGTGAGATTTGGGAATCTAATAGAATCACCAAATTGTGGCTGCTGCTGATGGCTTCAGAAAGTTTAGGGAGAACTGCAGGCTTTGCTCCTCAGGAGATAAGAAACCAGAGCTACATCCTGCCCCCTACCATAAAGCAACTGCCCAGAGCCTGGTTGCAAGTTTCTGGCAAATCCCTCTAATGTGCCCATCAAAACAAGGCCAAGGCAGCATCAGGGAACAGGGTAACAAGGCAGGCAAATAGCTTTGCTGAGAAAGGTAGCATAAAAAAGCAAATAAATAGAGCAGTAGCTGGGGTGGGGGCTGGGGACTCAACCAGGCATATTTCCTGAAATGAGAGCTGCTAGAACAGAAAGAGAGAGAATCACATAGGAGAAAGAGGATCCTCTAAGGGTTAAAGATTGTGAGCAGCCCAGAGAGAGTGGGGTCCAGAGCAGGGATGGACCCTGCTAAGAGAAGGGGCAGGAAGACTGAGGAGTCCCTATGTAACCACACAAAGGGCCTCTGCCTAAGGCTCTCAGAGGAATGCTCTCACCGGTGAGACTCCTGGAGCCATCATGAAACAGAAGATCAGAGCAGAGTAGCAAGGCTGGGACAATTTCTCTTAGCAACATGAGGCATGGGACATGCCTGGGTATTAACAGATAGCATCAGGAGAGTTCTTCATAGGAGTGGGTAGTGGGAGGGGCAGAGCTGCAGGCCTGCCACTTGACCATGCAGGGCTCAGCCAGAGCTCACCAGGGGAGGATGCATGCAGTCTCTCACTGAGCCTCTCCTATCACCCGATCCCTTTAACATCTCCTTGATGCTTCTAGCCCAGAAATCTTTCTTTCCTTTTCTATTCACCTTCATCAAAAGGCCTCTTCTGGGCTCGGCACCTATAGCTCAACTGGCTAAGGCGCCAGCCACGTACACCTAAGGTGGCGGGTTCGAATCCCCAGCCCGGACCCGCCAAACAACAATGACGGCT